GACAAGTCTAGTTGGACACACACTCATTTGTACACCCATTTTTGATTAATAATTGGAATAAAATCATGTATATGAAAAATACTTACAGTTATAACAAGTCATATGCTAAGTATAGTTCGTGTTCAAGAATATTGTACAAGAATATTGTATGTTATACAGGATGAAGGGTCATAGGAGAAAACAAAACAAATACTATACTGAGTAATCATCACATTGAATTAAAACGGAAGTAATGTTGAATAAAAATCATAATGAGTAAATCAATGATTTCAGAAACAATTAAATAAAATCACAGCGATCTGAGAAATAATAAACGGGAGTGGGATATACATAAATTCAAAATCAATGAAGTGAAAATAACAACAGTTTATGCATGATGTTCAAGAATGGAACTCCTGACCTCTTACATCTAACCTTTGTAGAACCACACCAAAATATACTATCATATTGTTTATTATATACACTATAGAATCTAGTATAATAATCAAGATAGATCTCCTGGAGTTCTAGTGAGAAGCTGTGACAGTTGGAGTCCAATCTGTGTCGAGTGTGAGACAGTTATCCACATCAGACAATGGGTGTGCAAGATCATGGATCGATTGAAGTTAAATATTAACATCTATATATGTCAGTTCAGTGGTCTAAAGGTTAAGCGTTCGCTCGTGAGACCGAAGGTCCCGAGTTGGAGTCTCGCATGTGGGGTTGTGGGTATACACTGCTAGGGGGTCCCATACTAGGACTGGACGGCCATCTATTGTATCCAGGTTTCTAATAGTTTCCTAGCTTAGATCGACTTGTGAATTCAACTGTTTAAATAGGTATCATACGTTTAAAATTATAATTAAAAACTGTTAATAAGCATGTACCAACATAATACTAACGATAATTCCATGTTCTTTACGAAATGATTAATCCTAAACCTTATCATTTATTACACTTATACAAAATACTTTCTATAATGAATTACTCCAATAATATATAATAAAATGAAACTTTAGTGTGTAACAAGTTGAGCATACTACTAATATGTTCATCGTTCATCAAAACCAAATACCTCAGTGCTTACTAATTATTAGAACGAATTCATCAAGTTATTTTGTGGGATGATTTGTAATGAATAGAAGCTTATGATCATTCATACGTGTTTGGTAATCTTATATCTCTCATTGTTGTGTCTGGAGAGTGTTTAATTAGATTATGCTTTGTACTGGGACCGTCGAATCCTACTAAGTGTAGTCAAAGGCAATGATCCGTAACAAGAGTTTATTTGACTCTGGGAAGTAATCAAAAGTGATTAAAAAAGATACATCAATTTTCTATACGATTGACTTACAGTCAGATTTGTATGAATTGAGCTGAGTAGTATTTAACGTCAATCAATCAACAAAAGTACAATTAAGCATGTATAACTAACAGACATCAGTCATATAATCATAATTACGCATTGTGTCTTTGAATAAAAATAATAATAATGAGAATTCAACGAAGAAAGGTTTCCTTTCGACGAAATCATTTACTTAAACTGTACATTCCTATTTATAGTTGTATAGTAAATATATATCTGCAGGAGGATAGAATAGGATGCATCATAAAGTGAATCGAAACTTCAATTATCAAATAAGGTCACGTAGTAATCTGAGGGGGGGGGAAGAAAAAAGAATAGAATAATAATATAATTATTCCTTCTTGAAATGTAATAGGATGTCACAGACAATCAATTTCATGTGTCTATGACAGTTCAATAGACTAAGCCACTGCTCGCTATATCAGTTAACATGATTATACAGTATTCAAAAAGAATCTTTACTAAACCCGTTAGAAGTCAGAGCACATGTATATTCGAATCTATTATCGAGTTATTATTACTATTATCATAACAAAACCTTACTTTGATGAACTTAATAGATATTGGATATTGAACAGAAATATGATACACCCAAAGTTAATAATTTCATTTATGAAACATGAATTACAGGCGTGATTGACTGGAGTATAATATTATATAAAATTATTTGTAAAATTCAAAGGAAAGGACGTTTCCATACTATAAGTTGGCTATGAGCTTAAACAATCAACCTTGAATTATTCTACACGGTTGGAATAAACGAAGTGGTCTATTTTAAGTTATTCAAAATGACCAATTTTAAGAGTATTATTTCCATCCCATTTCTGAATCCGTCATTAAGTACAGATGAAAGTTTACTACTTGGAAGTGTTTGACTAAAAGTATGAGTATTTTCGGTTTGTGTTTTCATCAATGAATTCTTACATAAATAGAAAAGAATTTGAGTAAAGTTTGGTAATAAATATAATTATGATTGCTTTCGTAGATAAGAATCGTTAAAAAGTCAAATTTAATTGAATAGTACTTGTGTTCTAATGTTTATACTCCTATACAAACTGTAAACACTGAATGCACATCATGAAATGTAAGAGAATAATCTGTAGAACTATTGAGTTTCATTATGAACTGCAGTACTATAATACAGGTGCATTCAATTGAGGAACTTTAATTAGTGCAAAATCCATTTGTTATATTTATCTGCTAGACACTATTTAAAATAAAGTCAATTACGCAATAGAAGTCTGTTTAATTTAATTTAATGGTAAGAAGGACTAATCAACTGAAACTTGTAGTACTTACAATTAAAGAAAATACAAAGTCTTAGACGATTTATGGGCACATAAATGTTAACACTATTTGTACTTCAGATAACATGTGTAGAATATTCAGTTGCACAGATTTACTTGTACACCGCCAGCTTTAAACTTATGTAGGCCTCGTCTAAGTTTCGAAATGTACGTTTATTTACTTTAAATGAGAAAGTCAGTTGGTTTTCGACGATGAATTTGTGCATAACATTTTGATTTTCTGGAGTAACATTCAAGGATATAAAATCACATATATTCTAAGCCACTCGAGTTAACTAAATGTCGATTTATTTTGGTAACTGACAAAACCTACTTATAAGTAGTATTAATTTTGTAACTAAATTTTTTAAATATATTTAAATATATTTTGTTATATCCCAATGAGTAAAAAAAATTACATTTCTGACGTTTCGTGACTTGATTTAAGCCACTTCTTCAGAACAAATAAATAATAGAGTTCGGTTATTTATCATTATTAGCTCTCTACGCAATGCTCAATTTATTTGAAACAAACTAGATTTTGTTGGGTTCATATATATGTTGATAACGGGGGAAACTATGTGAAATCTGATTATTTATACTTGGCGGTCAATGATTCACTGAGCTCTAGTGAATAAAAAATATATTTGGAAAAAGTAATCTTTTATAAACAGGGTGCTTTTTGATTATATTTTCCAAATTAAGACGGTTTGATGGAGTAGACTGGATAATTTAGACCTAGGTTTCATGTTATTCAGCGTGAACAACATCTGCCTGTAATCGTGAGGAAACTGATTTTCCAAGGGAGATTTGTTTGCGTCTCACCCAGGTTAATAATAATATATTAGCTGTAAAATTCGTTTAATCTGGTTGGCGTCTTTTTACCAAGATATTTTTTATACAGGATGAGGTTGCCGTCCTCATACCCAACTCTCCTCCTTTACCCGGGCTTGGGAGAGGCAGTAACTCCGGAACAGCTACAGGTGGAGTAACGGGCGTAAGCAAGTAAGTAAGTAACTGTAAAATAAAGTAGTTATATTATAATGAAGTATCTGTGATCATGTATCAGTCAAGTTAAGCATGCTTCACAAATTATCCAGTTCAAGATTTGTTTAATTAGATCTTGTCGTTCTTGATAAGAATTTCTTAAAATATGCTGTTCTATATTTACGTTTAGTATGTTTCTAGAGAAAGTGAAAGAAAATATTTAACATCAGTTGGCGTGTTTTAACCATCTACTTAGTATGTTTTTAAAAAGTATTTATCAAACTGTTATTTCATAGGAATTTCATTTAGTCCACGTCATGCTATAAAAATTATTAATCAAAATTAACATTCCGTTACTCATGCATGAGTAGTTCAATTTTGTTTAAGAGGTACTATGAGATTATTGGTCTAATTTAGAGAAACATGTCAGTCACTTATATGAGGTTCTGCAGTTTGAAATTATATATATATATATATATATATATATATATATATATATATATATATATATATATATATATATATATATATATATATATATATATATATGATGGACGTGCATTGTACATTTATTTTAAATATTTAGTTTGTTGTAAGTACTATGGTCTAACGATTTAACGACCGAATTATCCTATCACTGCTAACAACAGATGAAATTGTATAAAGTGAAATATAAACAAGGTTTTTCATAATTTGTTGCATCTGTAAGAACCACATCAATATAAGTATTAATAAGCGTTCAGTAGACTATTTATAATAAATATAATATAATTGTAATATTCGAATAAGTAGGCAAATGAAATGCTAATTCATGACTTAATGTAAGCAGCTTTTTCATAGAACAAGTGGATAACAAGATGATGTGTGATGTGAGTAGTACTGATTTAGAATCGTGGAATCAATATTACATCTGGGATGCAAGTACATTTAGCTGAAGTGCCCCAAATATGACGGAACGCGCGTTCTGGATTCCACTGTTAACCACCACCCATTTCTGACTAAAATATTCGTGACTTTGTGGCAATACTGAGGCAGTTCGCACTGCATGCACATATACTATAAGAGACCGATGATTTACAGTACAGAACATGAATAGAAAAATCCAAACAACCAAAAGTTATGAGTAACTGACCGTAATTTAATTCAAGGAGTTTTGTCAAAACTGCTTCAATTTACAGGTTGTATTCATTATAAACCATTCATAGTTGAGTTATCAATAAAAACCATGAAGTACTGAAAAAACATGTCGACCTCCACTCACAAAACCACCGAGTATCATACCAAAGCTATTTAGGTCGCATTGTGAAACCTTGAATAGTAGAACAGCTGGGTAGAAATTTTATTGTACGATTTTAATAAGTGGGATAATCTACATAAATTACCGTTAGAACATCAATAAAATCTTGAATTGAGTCACTACTGTGCTGAAAATTATTTTGGTTTATTTGAATTAATTTTTCTGTGATTGGCTTGATTTGTGAATAGTCAATAGTCTTTTCATAAGAAAGTTCCATTGTATGACAAAGCAGTTGTCTAGTATACATTGATTTTCAATCTTACCCAAACTAAGAAAAATCTATGATGAATATAACTTAAATAATAAATGGGATTATAAGCATAGATGGATAGTGGCTAGCAGTGGAATCCAGGTCGTGCGTTTCGACCTAGTTGCGACTCGTCAGCTGGATGTACCTGCATCTAAGTTTATGAGACTCGAACCCAATGCCGTTCGCTTCAAATGCCACCGCGTTGTCTCCTTAGCTACTGCTAGCTCCTATCTATCTTTGCTTATAATGCCTGTAAAGTACGGCAATATCGAGTCAATACGCACAGTATGCATATATGTCAATAAGAGCTTGATCAATTTCAGTCCTAAACATCAGTGGGAAGATTCAAGTAAAACAATACCAAGCGAAATAAATAGGATTGTTTGACTTATCATATGTGTAAGTAATGCAAAGGAATGAATTCGATCAAAATGTTTAATACGAATAGATAAGTCCAATTGTTTTAATATCATGTCATTCAAGTCAGAGGTAAGAATGTGTAGACACCTATTCAGTTTAAATCCCAAGAATACGAAGAGAGGAATAAAGAAGCATTGGCGGACAACAAAAACACATTTTGAAGAATCATCTGGCTTAACTTGAAATCTTTGAAGTTTATGATTGTACGTGCTTTATTTCACGTGTCATAAGCTTTCTTTCAATGTATGAATTACCGTTGTATTCTTTTCTATTTCAAAATTATTGGGTTACTTGGATACAAAAGTATTTTCCTTATCCCCTGTGTGCTGTGATTTTTTTAATCATATATTCATGTATTTACTTCAAGTTGGCTGATTTAAGAGTAAGTCGGGCATACAGTTCCAGTTAAGTCGTCTTTTTGCTTCACTTGCCACACAATCAGGTCTTTGGGTCAGTAGTCTCAAGATCGGACGCAAATTTTATAACTTTCAAAGTTGACTAGGTTACCAACTACATGAAGTCAGAAACTTAGATTGAGACAACTCTCTCCTCTCTGCACACTAAATACAGACAAGTGTGCAGACAGATCAAGGTTACAATACTCAGATTCCATTTCCTCGTTGTTGAGTAATTTTGGTATACTTTACAGAGTAGAAGCTCGTAGGATTAAAACATTACTAAATCACAGTTACCAGAACCGAACTACAACGATTTTTAAAAGTGGGTATATTATATTTATATTAACGGTTTATGCAACCTGAATTAAACGTAGGTAGAATCAAAATGTCTTATCGACGATATTTCAGAGTGAGTCATTCCACTTCAAAAATTTTATATATGGCTTTTATGAGCAGAAAATTAATTAATTTCTGTTATCAGTCTTATAATTGAATTTGTTAGAAACAGTGAAATGAAGTTATTATTAATCGCAAGATAACGTTTGTTCCATAACATTCTGGGTAACTGAATCATGTAACCAAATACAAACTCACAAATACTAAATGAAAGCTTTATGTTATCAAAAGATAATTCGTTTATTTTCTCATTGGATTGAATCCATTTAGTAAATGCTTCTAACAAATATTAGGGTTGAAATTTCAAATACTTAATCTCAATTTCTGTCTGGTTAGTAAAAATTAATATTGAGTAGGAAATATGAGAATGAGTAATTTGTAAAGTGACAGTGGTAAATAATAATACTGAAATTTGAGTTATTACTTATGTCCTACTTATGAGTAATATGTAAAAGATAATCTAAAAATGAATTTTATTCACAAAATAGAAAATTTATTCTTTAAAATGGAAATCGAAATTAATTTTTGAAAAAATTATGATCATATTTTTAGTTGAATGGATTTTATGGAATTGGTTTAAGTGATATGTTTAACTTATCATACATTGACTTCAGTTGAGTAACCATTAAAAACTACAGTGCAATGTACAGTTCTTTGACCTAGAATGTGACTTTCAGGTAATGGGTATCTACATCCTAGCACCTTCAGGGCTCGCAGAGAACGGTGAACCATTAGAATCATTGAATTGAAATCGAGTGGCACAATTTAGACTTTAATCATTACAGACACATCTTGACAAAAACCATTTCACCGTAGACATATTTTTACTCCATCGGACAGGAATATCATTTTGTAAGTCATCAGCGAGCTGATCACCATAGTTTAGTAAGCAGGGTTTTATGAAGATTTGTGCATTGACCAGAATCTTTGTTTAATAACCTATAGATTAAGTCACATAACCTATCTGATTTTCTATCATAATCAATGGAGTATTGGGTCTTCTCCCATCATAACTCACTTGTTCTGATGTGAACTATTTTGACGAATCTGAATAATAATAATAATAATAATAATAATAATAATAATAATAATAATAATAATAATAATGGTAATAATAATAATAATAATAATAATAATGGTAAAATCTATTTTATATGCCTATAAAGTCACATGAACGTTGTTAGGTTTCTTTTACTAAATAACATTGACCAGAGGACCATGAGACCCTATTACACTGCGTTCTTTATGAAGATTTGTACATGACTAAAATAAGAGTCCCGATATAATCTGACTGTACGGGCATGTGATGGCAGTAAGATGTTTCTCTCAGATAGATCCTATTCACTACAGCAGGGAAAGGTTAGGAAAGTCTAGTCCTTCGCAGATTTTCGTCATATGTTGTAAGACTTTACTGTGTAGAGTTGACACACAGAGAACCATTCTCAGCAAAATCGAATATTACTGACCTCATCAGTTGTCCCTTGGGCTCTATCATCTTCCTTCCAGGTTATCGAGAACATTACTTTTATTTACATTAGCTCCACGAAGAATTATCCTTTCGCTGTGTCAGAAATAAGAAAGTGGCACATGAGTTCCCATTTAAAAAGTGAGTGATTGGTTCAGTAATATCCAGGCTGATATTAAATAGTAATGAAACTTTCCCTTTGTTATATTCACTAGCTATAATTACTTATTCATCTTATGAAATTTATGAAAAGGGTTAATAGAAATGATCAAATAAAGCCTCTTTATTATTATTTATTTATTATTATTAGCTTTATTCAATATTACATTTTCGGTACAATATAGAATTTTCAGCGTAAAGTATTTCAACAAGTTTCCGTTTCTTTCTTCTTGGTCGGTCCTGACGATAAATATTGAGTGATCGCCAGTTAGATGTTAACAGTCCAGTAAATGAACATCTGAATAATGTGCATTCTTTTCGTTGTATATTGCCAGCAACCACATTGTCACTTATTGAGTTTTTTGTAACTTTGACAACGAAAGGTTGTACACTTTTCAGAAATGCACCATGATAAGTTATGCGATTTAATAGACATAACGATACATTAAAACAAACAAAAATAGATAACTTGTTGAAATATCTAGATGGCAGGAACAGGTAGCCCAAATGCTCAAGCAGGCCGCCCTTATCAATGTTATTGTAGGAGTTAATATTTAATAAGGTCAGAATAATGAACAATTAATCATATTAACTAATTCCAGTTAATTCATGATAAATTTGATTTTGATTGTAGGCCATAAGATAATAATTTGAAATAAGTTTAACGGCTAATGATTTATCTGAAAATATCTTTGATATTTGTTATAAATTGTGGCCTTATGCCCTATGACGTAATGATACCGCTAATTAGAGGACAGTGAATTATCGACCGAACCAATGACGCGTAAACCCATACGAGCAGTTTAAAGTCTTTATCGGTCCGTCTTCCTGCCTAGCCCTGCCTCTTGAGTCCAGAACATCGATTTCAGCCTCCGTGATATGAATCATGTATTTCAAACATACTGTGTTTATATACAAACTAAACAGATCACATCGTACCATAAAATAGAAAATAACATTTGTACAAGATCTAGCCAAAAGTGGTTGTGATTGTGGGAGACTGAAATTAATAGACTGGGTATAACTCATGAACGGTAAATCGTACAATAATAGTCTATGGGTCAAAATAAAGCTTATAATAAGAGGAACATGAATATGCATAAGTTAGCTACTCAACAATTATCCAATAAAAATATATGTATTGTATTGGTCCATAAATAGTTCTCAACAGTCACCATTCATAGTTCTCGTCGGGATAAACAGATATTTATGATGAGGATAATTTAAAAAGTAACTCTACTAAACTATCCATCCGTATACTAGTAATCATTTTAGTTCGGATTTAGTAGAGGCATAATTTAGAATAATATGGAAGGAGGTGAATGTTTTGGTGCGTGTGGACATATGTTGACCATTTGATCAGTCACTGAGGATTCCTTAGCGCTTATTTAAGTTGGTGGTTGGTGGTAGCCAATAGAGAACCTTGAACATGATTTTCATATTACCTAATACTCATGGGAAAATATCTAAGCCACTGAAAACTATAAAGGACTGTGCATGTGTGGTTCTTCAACAGTGCTCAAATACGATACAGCATACTACATCAACCATAAAATGTTCATGTTTCATAATATCTCCTTATGATTGATCCGATATGGCTGCTTTCGACGTTTGCTGTTTCGTTATTATGTGATTTACTAATATGTACCAACAATATAACTATCTGTATTTTGGAAGAAGCGTATATTATTACTGATAAAAATATGGTCAAATTATATAAATACTTGAATTTTGCCTCATGGATAGTCTTACACTACATAATCAGTGAAAACCAGGAGTCATTAAATAACTATTTCTCTTTACTAAGGAAAAAAGAAAATGGTCATATATTAGGATAATCAAATTTTTAAACTCTCCCTAACCTTCCGAAACTTCGCATACTAATATTTAAATGCTTTTAGAGGATTGGAAAAAAGTAGCTGACTACGTCCACATTCTCAGTCTTATTCATTCACTATTATGTAACATTTAAAATTGTGTACATCTGGCATTTTAGATATCAGTCAATGTAGAAAACAATATCAGAAAGACAATAATCAGTATTGTACTTCAATAATTATTTGATTTATCTTGAAACGTGTATTTTTTTAGCTCGAAGAGTTTTGTGAAGATTGGTTCAATATGTAGGT